GCTCGGCAGAGAGTGCGGCTACAGCATCCGTTTTGAGGACTGCACCTCCGACGACACGGTGATCAAGTACATGACCGACGGCATGCTGCTGCGAGAGTTTCTCACCGAGCCCGACCTCAGCTCGTACTCTGCACTCATCATCGACGAGGCGCACGAGCGCACGCTCAGCACCGACGTGCTCTTTGGGCTCGTGAAGGATATCGCGCGGTTCAGGCCGGATCTGAAGCTGCTCATCTCGAGTGCCACGCTCGACGCCGAAAAGTTCAGCGAGTTTTTCGACGATGCACCCATCTTCAACGTGCCCGGTCGACGCTACCCGGTCGATATCCACTACACGCCGCAGCCCGAGGCGAACTACCTGCACGCAGCCATCACGACTGTGTTCCAGATCCACACCACCCAACCGCGCGGAGACATTCTGGTCTTCCTCACCGGTCAGGACGAGATCGATGCGGCCATGGAGAATCTGCAGGAGACGAGTCGGGCGCTGGGCAACAAGATCGCCGAGCTCATCGTGTGTCCGATCTACGCGAATCTGCCGAGCGAGATGCAGGCCAAGATCTTTGAGCCGACGCCCGAGGGCGCACGCAAGGTGGTGCTGGCCACCAACATCGCCGAGACCTCGATCACGATTGATGGCGTCGTGTTTGTCATCGACCCGGGCTTTGTCAAGCAGAACTCGTACAACCCGCGCACGGGAATGTCGTCGCTGACGGTGGTGGCGTGTTCGCGCGCGTCTGCGAACCAGCGCGCGGGTCGTGCGGGCCGTGTGGGACCGGGCAAGTGCTTCAGGCTGTTTACAAAGTGGGCATTCAAGAACGAGATGGACGAAAACACAACACCGGAAATCCAACGCACCAATCTAGCCAACGTGGTGCTACTGCTCAAGTCGCTGGGGATCAACGATCTGCTCAACTTTGACTTTCTCGACCCGCCGCCGACAGACACGCTCGGGCGGTCGTTTGAGCTGCTGTATGCGCTGGGTGCGCTCAACGACAAGGGCGAGCTGACCAAGTTGGGCCGACGTATGGCCGAGTTCCCCGTGGACCCTCAGCTGTCCAAGGCGATCCTGGCGTCGGAGCAGTACAAATGCACGGAAGAGGTGCTATCGATCGTCTCCATACTGTCCGAATCGTCGGCGCTCTTCTTCCGACCGAAGGACAAAAAGATGCACGCGGACCGGGCACGCGCGGCGTTTGTCCGCACGGGCGGCGACCATTTCACGCTGCTCAACGTATGGGAGCAGTGGGTGCAGAGCAACTACGACCACGCCTTTTGCATCGACAACTTTGTGCAGCCCAAGGTGCTGGCGCGCGTGCGCGACGTGCGCGACCAGCTCGCCCAGCTGTGCGAGCGCGTCGAACTGCAGCCCGAGGCCAATGCCGACCCTGCCGACATTTCGGGTATCCAGAGGGCCATCCTGGCGGGCTACTTTATGAACACGGCGCGATTGCAAAAGGGCGGCGAGACGTACCGCGCCATCAAGCAGAATACGTCGATCTGGGTGCATCCGTCCAGCTGCCTGTACAAGCAGATCCCCCAACCGGGATTTCTGTGCTACTTTGAGCTGGTGGAGACCAGCAAGAATTTCATGCGCCAGGTGATGCAGATCAAGCCCGAGTGGCTGCTCGAGGTCGCCAAGCATTACTTTACCAAGGACGACGTGCAGGACACGGCCAAGACGAGCCACTACAAGGGCAAGACTGCCAGCGGCGCCGCGCTCACCCGTACCTGATCCCTCAGCGCACAATGCAAATCTACACGAGTGCACGAACAAAATATTGCGCAAACGAAGAGAACAAGAGTGAGGCTGGGCCGAGCGGTCTCAGAGCACCTCATGAAGGCCAAAGTTTTCGTTGCAGGCGGCACGGATGGTGTCGTTGGCCTCGTCGGCGCTGACGTTCTGGCCGCTCTCGCAGGTGAAGAGTTTGCCGCGCGCGTCTCCACGCTCGACGCTCGAGTCTTGGCCCGGCTCCTTGCACGCCATTTTTGCGCTGGCTACGAGGGCCGACGAGACGACTTGGGCGGCGTGGTGCGCACGCGGCTGCTCGAGCTTGCAGCGCGCCGTGCGGCCGTCGTTGAGCTTGAGCAGCACCGCCGCGTGGTGCTCGACGTGCGAGTCGGAAGTCGGCAGCGGCGAGCCAAACGTGTGGCCGGTGAGGGCCAGGATCAGGGCCAGAAAGGGAAGTGCGAACTTCATCGTTCTGAGGACAGAGTGGAGCTCAGCACCAAGACCGCGAGGCAAGGTAGGCAGGGTCGAACTCACTTCGCAGGTGCAGGTAGGTTGTGTGAAGGACCAGCTTCGTCGGTGGCGCGGGGGCCATGGCTAGAGGCGCGGGGGGTCTTATACCTTTTCTCATACGCCTGTCGACGGGGAACGAGCGGGAACGAGCTTGCAGATCGCCTGTGTGACCAAGACCACATTGACGACGGCTTCATCACGGCCGGGCCGACGTTAATGAATTCGAGGTCCCACACTCTCACGCCGTGATGCGCCACCCAACCATCCGTCGGCGGTGCTGCCGTGCGGACGTCCGAATGAGCGGCCCCACCCAAACGCATGCATCCGGAGCAACGCTCTTCGGCACATCCGATGTCCTGCCGGACGACACTTGTTCCACTGCAATCCGACCCACCGTCCACATCTCGAAATGTCGTCGGCTCATCCGACACCGCTTTCACATTCCTCACACTCTTGAACAGTAACAGGCCCATCTCCGAGCACATCTGTTTCTTGATTGCGAGTGTTGTCACCCGCCGCTTTCTTCCCACGCCGCATTTCATCGCAACGGAGGACTCTTGCGGGACTTTAGCGTTTGCGCACCTGCACACGCGGGTCACCCTTGGCAGCTCTGGCCTGGAGCTTCTGCTGACGCTTCGACACTGCCTCCTGCTGCTGCGGCGCTCCTTCCGGCTGCGCATTCGAGCCACGCGCCAGTCCCTGCAGCGAAGCAAACGGACTCTGCCCGCGGAACAGGTAGGGCAGCAGGATCTTTTGATAGATCACGTACCCCGCATATCCCGGGATCTTCACCACAATACAAACTCAATCAGTACATCGTCCCTACAAGCTGGAACGAAGAAGTGTCACTTACGATGAGGTAGAGATACCAGAACTTCGACCAGAGGAGCGAAGCCAGTTGGACGAACCACGTTACGTAGATGATGTCGAACATGTACTGCGTCAGGCCGCTCTGTTGCAGATCGTTTCCCTGCGCAGCCATGCTCTGCAGCGTAAACCACAGTGCGACTGCGATGGCTTCGGATACAGCGTAGCCGAATACGGTGCTCTTGGTTACGCTCGATCGCAGCAGCCAAAATCGCACCAGCAGGTACACCGTGTTGGTCGCCAGGAAGCCATTGCGCAGCAGCGTCAGCAGAAACGCATTGCCCGATGCAGTCTTTTTAGCGCTCCCTCGTGCCTGCAGTTCTTCCTCGTCAGCTATCCCACTTTTTAAAAAAGTCCCAGTGCGACAAGGAGACTCACCATGATGATCGATCTTGTGCTTTGGATGGTCGCCGTAAAGCAGAGCTTCGAGTCGCGTGGGGGCTGCCGCTTTGGCAAAATAGCCCGCCCAACCCCCGCGTTGACCGGGTGGAGATTCATTTTGGACGTGTCCCGACTTCCGCATTTGCCAGTAGCAGGACGGCCAGACACACCGCACTTTTGCATGCTCACTGCGCTACTTCAATGCTGTCACCAAGTCGTCTCGGTCCTTTCATCGATCTGAGGCGATGCGGAATAACTGAAGTAATGCGGAACAAGAATATATAAAGTCCATAGATGCGAGCGAGAAGAAGGGATAAACAGGGACGGACAAGGAACGGCCACTGCGCCAAGAATCGGGTCGGTGCCGTGTCCAGGCGTGAGCATAGTGCTCTGACAAGCCGCATACACGCGATGCAGTAGCTGGCTGCAAAGCTGCGGGCGAGCATGAAGACTGGGTCGAACCCGACTGCTGTTCACCCGCTACACGGAAGCGGGCTCTGCCACACTGCCTCGAGCCAGCTGCTTGGCTCGACGTGACTGCTGCCTTAGAGCAGAACCCAGACACCGACACCCAGCGCGAGCATGCTTGCCGAGATGGCCGCGGCGGACGAACGGAGGACCTGAGCAGCACTGACAATGTGACTGTCGTTGGGACCGAGGGCGCTGCTACCACTTGCGCCCGATCCGCCACCGGGGGCCGGCGCCGCCGCGGTGCCTGCGAGGTATCCAGTGGTGGGGACGGTGGCGATGGGGAAAGTGGTGGGAGTTGTGCTGGTGGAGGTCATGTTGGAGGTGGAGTTGGACGATGCCGTCATGTTTCCGCTCATGGATGCCGATCCTGTGGGTGCTGCCGAGCTGGATCCTGATGGACGCGCCGTTGCTGTTCGAGCATCAAAGGGAGATTTAAGGTCAGTGTGGCTTCCATGACTTGACCATGCAGGCATTGCTACTCACCACTACCACTTGTTTGAGCATTTGTGGACGCTGGTGCCTGTGTCGACGAAGCGGGGTTTTGTGCCGATACGGCTGCGCACAACGCGAGCACGACAATGGCAAGGCAGTACAAGCCCAAGTATCGCTGGTACCTCATGCTGACAATGGGTGGTTGAGCGGAGTGTCGCGTTTGTGTAATGTGTGGATGGCGATGGCGATGGCGATGGCGATGGCGATGGCGATGGCGATGGCGATGGCGATGGCGATGGCGATGG